AATCAGGAATAGCAGCATTTTAAAAATGCCGTAATTATAGTTCAGTTGCGTTATTTACATACACATAATGTGTTTACTACATCAAATAAAAACTGGACTGAAGCACATTTGGAAACAGAAGAATCCCCTAGAGTCCAATACCTTCCTCAGTTCTTGTTAACGCTATGCTAAGCTAATAAGCAAAGTTATTAACATGCTAACCAAAAGCTAACTGAAAATATTGAAATACCTTTCTGTTTTAATTGAAAGTGCTGGTGTTACACATAAAATGTTACACATCTCACTTACTCAATGCCTGATCAAAAACACTAAGGCTAAACTTTTAGTGTGCTAAACAATGGCTAACTGAAAATATTTATAGCCTAGCTGGTTGGTCTTCCAGCCTGGTCATAGCTTGTTTATCAGGCTGATTTTAGAGGGGTTTTGAACACTTCTTTAACTGGCCAGGCTGGGAGACCAGCTTAAACCAGCTAGGCCAAGCAGCATAGGATGGTCTTAGCAGTTTTTTTTTTTTTTTTTTACATTTTTTTTATTAAAAATGCCAGTGTCATACATAATATTATCTTCCTTTCTCAATGCCTGATCAAAAACGTGCTAAACGAAGGTTGACAGAAAATATTGCTTTCTTTCTTTAATTGAAAGTGCCATACATCTGTGGTTAAAAAGTATATAAATTTGTATTTTTCTTAGAAAATGATAGTTCGTTTCGCTAGATAAGACCCTTATTCCTCAGCTGGGATACTGTAGAGCTCTTTGAAGCTGCACTGAAACTGCAGATTGGACCTTCAACACGTTGGTTCCCATTGAAGTCCACTATATGGAGAAAAATCCTGGAATGTTTTCCTCAAAAACCTTAATTTCTTTTCGGCTGAAGAAAGAAAGACATGAGCATCTTGGATGACATGGGGGTGAGTAAATTAACAGGGACATTTTTATTCTTGAACCAATCCTTTAATGCCTGATTAAAAAAAAACTTGCTGTTGAACTATACCAGTAGGCTACAAGCTATTTGCTTATGCTAAGGCAAAATGAAAACAAGGAAAAAATTGAAAGTGCCCATTTCATACAAATGTTCATCTTGCTCAGCTGTCATTGAATAATTATTATTTTGTAATTAAGACTAAATACACTGTAAAGCAATTTTTCTTTTCTTTCATTTTTATTTAGGCACCGAACAGAATACCCATAAAAACTTTTAGAAGCCAATGAAATTGCATGGGAATCCATACTTTAGCTATTAGCTTTTTCCTTTCTGATCTTTGCCTATATTGTTGTCTGTTAAGATAAATTCCTTCATTCCTCAATGTTTACAACAATCCAGACGTCCAGTCTACTAAATAAGAAATACTGGAGAGGTGTGGGAACACAGGTGTTTGCGGAGCCAGCAGGTCAATAGTGGACTGAAGGAATGCGTTTGATGTCTGTTTCACAGGAGAGGTGTAATATTTCCCACACAAATTCAAAACAAGAAGCAGAGAAGATGCACTGACGCCACACACTTCATTTGATCTCCATCCATCATTCCCAGAAACAAGAAGGCAGTCATCTGGTCAGGGGAAGTTCAAGGTTGTTCTCGATTTTGTGGTGGTGGTGGTTGGCATGGTTTCTGTTTCTCTAGCAGAAGTCACACATGAAAGTCAAGTTGTAGGCGGGCATGAGGTGGCTGAGGCCTTAAAATCCTCCAGGCCAGCCAGTGACAGGAACACTGAGCGCACACTAAGAATAAAACCTCACACGCTCTTTCTAATCTCACATGTTTCAGAATGTGTGTCATCTCAAAGTGTCAAGAACACAGCAACACAAAACTTATACCCAAGTTTGGTGTGTGAGGCTGATGCAGAAGACCACTGTGATCTCCTATAAAACCCTATAGACATTGACAGAGAAATGGGAATATAGTCATATAATTAAGACAATCAAGTCTCAATTATATAGTCATATAATTGAGACTTGATTGTCTTGAACAAGTAAACAATCACCCAGAAGACCCTAATCATTACATATCAATGTCCTAGCAATAGCTAAAACACCCTAACAACTGTCCAGAACACCATAGATTATAGGATAGAATCTTCTAATGGTGCAGAAATTACACACTTAGCCTTTAAATTTGTTATTCTCATAATCCACCTTGGTTAGTCTGAGTAGAAAGTGCTGGTTTGAAAGCATGCAATGACTGATGTTTTAAAATGCAAAAGTGATCTATATTATTAATGTGCTTTTGGTAAGTGCTGGGAGCTTATTGTGCATTATACAGTATGATGTCATTACACGTGTAGTGAAGATCTCATGAGGGGCTCGTAAAATCTTTCGCTATGAAATCATCTAATCAAAAATCAAGCAGATGAGGGAATATTGGGGGAATGAGTTCATATGCAGCTCCCTTGCCTATGATGACAGAATTGTTAAGATGTTAGAGAGATCGAATGAACGGAGGTCATAACCTGAAGTATTCATTAGAATATTGCAATTTTAATGTGCAATGTGGCTACAACTATATTTTATTCATTCTCAGTGCGTTGTGATGTTTACTCTTTCTTCAGGCTGATGTAAACTCAAATGAGGTAGTCAAGTATATTTGGCCGTTTTGTTCATTCTTTGGCTGAATGACTAAGTCTCTTGTGTTCTGTAGTTTATCTTCTTCCTGCTGGCTCAGTATCCGGGAGAAGCCTGATTAAATAAGTGATTATGTGTCCATGCTTAATCCAGTTTAACTCATAATCAGTGGAAAGAATTAACTGATTTTAGAAGGATGTTTTCTATTCGATTTTAGCCAAGTGGTTCAAGCGGCCGAGCAAGAATGTATTGATGGCTCTGTCCTGAAAGTGCTGGAAAAGGAATCTTGCCTGACATACAGAACACATATATGACGCAACACAATTTAATATAATTGTACATTTGTATATTTATAAAATGAAGCACACCGCTGTAGATGAGCTAAATGTAAAATTGGGAATTTGAACACAACTTGAATTATAAGCCCATTTCTGTCTCAGAGCAAAAAAAAAAAAAAGGTTGTTAGATTAATTTTGAAAATGTAGAGTAACATTGTGAAATACAAGTCATTGTGAGATAAACAGTCACAATCATGAGAAATAAAGTAGCAACCAGGAAATATAATCGCACAATGTTAGATATGAAGCTGCAATTATGAGAAGTTTGCAATTAGGGAATATAAAGTCACAATGTGAGATCTAAAAATGTGATTACAAGAAACAGCTGCAACTTTGAGAAATAGTGTTGCAATTGAAAGATATATAGTCAAATTGTGTGTGTGTGTGTGTGTGTGTGTGTGTGTGTGTAGTTGCGGTTATGAGAACAAAAGTTGTGAATACGAGCTATAAAGTCACAGTTATGAAAAACAAAGTTGCAATTGGGAGATATAAATTTGCAATAATGAAAAAGTCTCAGTTGTGGAATATAACATTATAATGAGAGATATAAAGCTGTAATTATGATAAACAACTGCAATTTTGGGAAAAAATTTTGTAAATGTAGGATAAAATAGTCAGGAAATATAAAGTCCTATTGTGAGACATAAAGTCGTAATTATCAGAAATAAAGTTGCAAATGCAAGATCTCAGCTGAGGAATATAAAATGACAATGTGAGAAATAAAGTCAAAATTATGAGAAACAAAGTTGAAACTACGAGAAACAAAGCAGTCATTTTGAGCAATAATGTTGCAATTGTGAGATATAACGTTGTATTGTGAGATATGCAGTCGCAATTATGAGAAATAAAGTTGTGAATCCAAGCTGCAGTTATGAAAAACAAAGTCACAGTTGAGGAATAGTTGAGAAACATCCAGATTCTTAGTTTCTGAGTTTGTCTGATACCATAAGGTAGGATTAAACAGCTTGTTTAGTGTTGTTCCCTGACAGGATGAAACCTGAAGCTTCGGTACGCACCTCTCTAGCGATCACTGCGACAAACGCTGAGCTCATCTGCGAGTCTTACCGTGACTTATCTCATCTCAGAAGTGCGACATGAGACTATCACGTCACCTCCTGCCAGCTCAGGTGCACCAATGCTGTTTCACGGCCTGTTGCGTCCTAAAGATAATCAACCATGTATCCTTGAGTCAGTGAGGGCACGAAACACGTCAGCTTCCCCAAATACAGTCACTACCACGGTACCCTTGTTAAAGATTCAAGTGTTTTCACTGTGTACTAGGCCAAACCTTCAGAAGGAGTAAATAATACATGTAATTCAATGCATGCGCTCGTAGCATGTGTGCACAAGTCACATTGATTCCTCTTGCTTTGTCATTGTTGTTGTTTACATCACACAAAACTTTGAGGTGAACATCTTTCCAAATCCCTAATCATATCAAATTTGCCACTTTTATCAAATAAAATGATAATCAGTGACTCTTGTGTACAGGATGTTCTGATTTGCGATGACAAATGTTTTAGTTCTGCACAAAAACAATTATCATTAAACTGTCTCTGGTGACCTTTTAGAATAAACTTTAAATTTTTTGCCAATATTTATAAATATTAGGCTACTGAATAAAATATGCTAACACATTTTTTATTAGTTTATTTAGTATTGTTATTAAGGCCAATTATCGGATTGCATGCAATATAAAAAATATTTAATGGCTCTAAAAATAGTTTTAAATGTATTTATTTTTAAAATTATCATAATTTCGAAATTAAATTTGAATTTCTTTATTCTGAATATTTGATCCTTACAAGTAGTTACTCAAAAGAATCATTAATCGTTAAAAAACATTGCAAAAAAAAAAAGGAAAAAAAAGCATTTTGTCGTAGAAGCTCCAGATGTGTGCAATTATTATTATTAATCAGATTCACGGTTCAACATGATGTTGAATATGTGGAATCCACAGCATTCCACATATTCAACCTCAGCAAGTCAAGTCAAGGTGTTCCCATAACACACTGCAGGATTATTTCCACCGTGAAGGAATCTGGCTCATCCCTTTAACTTCACATTGATCAAACCTGAAAAGACCTTTCTCATGTGACCAAACAGTCATTGTTCTGCACCAGGTGTTCGGCCTCCTGAGTGCTCAACAAGAGCAAGGTCACCTGGTTCACGTCCGGCAGAGCAGAAGAAGACGTGATGGCACCTGTTTGTGAAGGTGTGTCATCGCTTCTCTGGAAACCTGATTATTGTGATTGCAGGTTTAAAATCAACACCCACAAGACCAAACCTGCCACCACTCCCTGTTGAACAAATACCTTGCTCAAACATATGTAATCATTTTATATTTTATTTGGTTTATCCATCAATGGAAGGATATGAGTGATCTACTTTTTTCCATTTACAACTCATGACAACTCATATTTAGACAAAAAAAAATTAGTCATGGCCATTTCCTAATTCAGAAACCAGCGTTTTAACTCATTGATCTAATCTAATTTAAGTGGATATGGCTTTTAACAACTCTTCAGATTAAGAGATTCTCCATTTCCAGTGCACTCTGGTGTTAATGTGGAAACTGGATCCCTGTTTTCTTTGTTAATGGGGGTAAGCGCTGTGTCACTGTGTGTCCAGGTTATGCAACCGATGGCTGGTTTTCAGTCATCAATCACTCTACAGAAGCCTGGCTGGACTGCCTGTGACCTCCACCCACACTAAGTAAGTAGTCCATTTGAGACTTGTGTTTGGGCATAATTGAAATGCTTGGGAGCTACTGTTTTTATGTTATTGAAGTGTGACATTGCCCTCTGATGTTGATTGGAAGTGCATTTTGTGTTCTTGTAAATGTACGTTTAGGCCCAGAAAACGAAAGCTGGCTCACTGAAAATGCATTTTAAAGTTTGGCTTCCCAGAAACACCAAATCTACTAGTAAACATGCTAACTTAAACTCATAGCTAGCTAGGCTACACCCAAAACTATTCCTTAGAGAAAGAATATAGTAAGTATAGTAAGTTAAATGAATCACACAAAATGAATCGCTCATAGATTCAGATTACTTTGCTAACCTTTTTTACCAGTTCATTGAAAAGAACTGGTTCAAAAGAGTGATTGATAAAATAATTAAGCATTACTGTAACTTTGTAAATGTCTTTACTGTCACTTTTCATCAAATTAATGTGTCCTTGATGAATAAAATAATTTATTTATTTAAAATACATGCTTCTTGGTTTGATTATAATTTTATGTTTAATGTAATAATTTCATTGTAATTGTGGTTTAATTGTTCACATATGATTTCTGTTCACTGTACGTTCAAACAGCAAGTTTGTGATCTGCCATTTATTAAATTTAACAACTTACTCATTCAGCTTCTGGTCACCTGATCAGGAGCCCAGAATGAAAACTGTAACTAAAGACACAGAAACGAAGGCATACACTCTTTCTAATTATTCACTCTGTCATTGTTCCTGTTTAGCCGGTCTGTTATTGCCACCAGACTGGAAATTGCTGGCTAACAGTTGTTTATTACAGAGGAAACCCGTCCCACTCCCCTCATCTCCGGCAAAAACATTCTTGTGCGCAGGGTGCGAACTACGGGGGAGCTCGGCTCCCCTTAATAAGACATGGGCTCCCCTGAAAACGTGATTTGTGAAATTTTGGGGGGTCTCAAAAAATATTGACAATGTGTTATTTTGACGTGCAATTTCAGTTTTGTGTAATGTGATCATCGTGGATTATTATGTGTAAAATTGCAAAAATATCATTCATTCATGCATGAAGGCGATTTAATGCTTTGTTTATAGACTATTTGTGGGTGGCTGTTTGTTGTTTCACCTATCAATTCGTGTCGATAAAGTATAATAGGGTAAATCCTGTATAGTGATTTATCCTATATAGTGCTTGCATAAAGCAAGTAGTGCATAAAAAGATGCATAACAGCTAAATTACAAGGGTAAGTCATTGTAAGCCCTCTTTTGAGGCACGCGCCCCCCCCGTTATATAAAAAAAACAAAACAAGTGGGCTCCCCCAAAGACCATGGTATAGTTCGAACACTGCTTGTGCGTCCATTAACTGGCATAAAGACTGTAGTGGCGTTTATGTGGAGGTCTTTGTAGAGGCTCCTGTGGTTTTGCCTCGTAACAGCTTCACCCAACCATCCTCTACTTCATTAAACAGCTGAACCGCTCCGTCCAAAAGGGCCTCTAGCAGACTAATGCATCCCCCTCTGTCCTTCCTTCCTGCCTTAGCTGATTAGCGCTGGACACTCGCTTTTATTGACCTCACAGCTAGCAGGCCAGACAACAGCACCTCTACTTCTCATTAGCACACACGTAATATAAACATTTTCCTCAAGGTCGGGCTAAATAAGCCCCACAACGCACAAACACACACGCCAGTCAACTTTTAGTTGCCTGTTTGCGTAGTTTTATGATAACCGGAGGAGGTGGCGTGGCTGTTTCCTGTCTGGAGTGTCGTAAAAAGCCTCATTTTCTATCGCATTTGTTCTGTCTCCAGACACAAGGTCACGAGGGCTCATACAGGCCCCAATAAATGTAGGTGAATGCCTGTTAATCTGTTAATGTGGCGGCAGTACCGGAATTTGGCTTCGGTTATTTAGTGGAGAATTAAGCGCTTTTTTACATTTTGCTGATGGGAGCTTATAACTTTAGAGCAAACTTCTGCTAAGTGTGTGTGGAGCAAGACTGCCAATGAAGCTTTTTAGTGTATTAGACCTGCGAGACAGCTGGATTTTCTCTTTTAGAGCTGGGTGATCATGACTGTGGGCTCACACAACATGGAACTGGCACACAGATGCTGTGGTGACAGCTACAATGTTATTGCCACCTTCTCAACACCCCCAAGTCTTTCCACTTCCTCCTGTTCCACCTTTCACCCGTTCTGTTCAAAATCTTTAGGAATTTAGACAATATTTTACAAAATGTGATATTTTTGTAGATTTTAGTGGATGTATGAAGTCAGTTTGACAACCAGAAATTATCTAAATGCTCTTTGTCTTTATTTTGAACATTATACACTACTGTTCAATAGTTAGGGGTCGGTAAGAATTTTTTATGTTTTTAAAAGAAGCCTTTAAGGCTACATTTATGTGATGACAAATACATTAAACACAGTAATATTGTGAAATATTTTTACAATTTAAAATAACTGCTTTCTATTTTAATATATTCTAAAATGTAATTTATTCCTGTGATGCAATGCTGAATTTACAGCATCATTACTCCAGTCTTCAGTGTCACATGTGTCACAGTGCCTTCAGAAATCATTCTAATATGCTGACTTGCTGCTCCAAAAACTTTTATTATTATCATTAGTGTTAAAAAAATTGTCCTAATAATATTTCTGTGGAAACTGCATGAATAAAAAGTTAAGAAGAACCATATTTATTTGAAATAGAAATATTTTTTTATCATTATATGAATGTCTTTACTGTAACGTCTGATCAGTTTAATGCATCCTTGCTGAATAAAAGTATAAATTTCTTTAAAACAAAAAAACAAACAAACTGTTGAATAATAGCATACATATTGTTTTATCATTTCAAACCCATCTTTTATGAAAGTAATACCTCTTGGTTTGCTATTTACCACAACATCATTCATTTTAAGTGTGGCTTCAGACTTTTTCTGGTCATGGTATGTTCAAACAGGAAGCTTGTGATCTGTCATTTATTAAAGGATCAGCGCTGACACATTGACACATATCTGATGTTACCGGGAATCTGTTTGTATGCCTTTCAAGAAAAAACTTTACAAAATGTTCCAGTCAAATGGACCAAGTGACAGCAGGGTTGTCAGCGCAGCTCAGAGGGTAGATTAAGGTGTGCGTTCATATCCGTCTTCTGTAACACTTCTTTGCCTCATGCCCCCTTCATGAACCCCAGATAGGAGTGTGATATGGTGAGCAGCTGGCATACCTTTCAGCGACGCGTTTACAACGTGCCTGCCACCGCTTTGTGCATTCCAGCTCTTGCACAGAGCATAAACACAAAACATACACATGTACAAACGCAAGACTACAAATAAACCAGACAGACCACTTGCACTGAAGGTTTTTGAATGCATGAAATGCAAAAAAAAAAAAAAACCTTGAAAAGGTAATTCAATGATTCAGTGACATTTTGAAAGAGTCCACGTTCTCACGAGGGCTTTTTATACAAAACCCATGGCCAACCAAGCCTGTAAGGTTTAAATTTAAGTCAGTTTAATTTAATAAACAAATAAATACATTTAGGCCATTTTTCAGGGCACCCCAAGGCTTTGAATACATAATGATATAGGAAATAGCTGTCTAAGGAAATAGCTGCTTTTTAAATAAATAAATAAATTAGTTAGTTGTTGTGCCATCCCAAAGCTTTAGAATATGCAGTGATATTATTTTGGAAATAAATTAGATAATAGAAAATAATTAGATAGATAGACAGACAGATAGATAGATTCCATGAAAAATGGCCTAAATACATACATACATTATATATTTTCCAAATAATATTAGTATATTCCAAATCCTTGCGTTTTCATGAAGATAAATAAATAAATAAATAAATAAATAGATAATAGTGCTGTCAAAACGATTAATCGCAACTAAAAGAAAATTTTGTGTTTACATAATATATATGTGTGTACTGTGTATATTTCTATTTATATATAAATATACACATACATAAATATATTTAAGAAATATACGTAATATTTATATTTTTATTTATATATTATTTATATTTATTTAATATAAATCATATACATATACACACACACATAAATATTTCTTAAATAATATGTAAATATTATGTACACACAAACATTTATTTTGAATGCGATTACTATGACATCTCTAATATTTATTTATTTATTTATTTATGCTATCTTCATGACAACCCAAGGATTTGGAATATATAATAATATTATTTTGAAAATAATAATGTATGTATGTATTTAGGCTATTTTTCATTGCGTCCCAATAATTTGGAAGTGATATATAGTGATAATTGATAGATCGATAGGTCGATAGATAGATAGATAGATAGATAGATAGATAGATAGAGAAACATTATTTAAAACCCAGAGTTTTTCCTGTTTTTCATTTGTTTAGGTCTCAGATGAATGTTTGTATGAAGGATCAGTGTAATATTTGTCAAAGATGTAAACGGCTGGAAGTTCAAGCATGTTTTTTTTTTTTTTCCACGGTCACGGTCT